GCACTAGCACGACCGAAGCACCAGCAGAGCCGACCCAAAAAACCCGAACACGTTTCGGCAGCAATGGTTCAAACGGTGGTGGATTTAAACGACCTCGACCGGGCGGTAATCACAAGCCAATCGAGGAAGACACCGTGCAGAAGGAGACCGCCAGCTCAGCAAACGCAGAGAAACCGCCAGCCGGTCGCGGCAGATTCCGCGCACCATCCGGTGGTAGAATCGCCATCTCCACGACAACGTCGGCCCCGTCGAATGGTTCAACGGCGCCAGCAACGGCGCCAGCGGCACGACCTACCTTCAACAAGGTGAACATCAATCGGAGACGTGGACGACCGACTACAATCGCACCGGGAAGCGAAGAACCACAGGAGGGGGCAACACACTCCGAAAACGGTCAGATCGTCGCTCAGACCGCGCCGGAAAGCGCAACCCCGAAATCCGTTGTTCGCACGAGACTTCCTGGCGCGCCTGCGATCAGACCGGCCATCAGACCGGGTGGTAGAGTCAATTTGAGACAGAAACCAGGACAGACGACAACCACAACGCTTGCACCGGAAGTCCCAGAAGGCCCTGTTGAGGAACCGGCCGGAGAAGGAACCGAGGAAGAAACTCACGAGGTTGAGACCTAATTTTATTCATTTGCATTTTTTTTATTCTTTTTCTCTCTCTTTCTACATGGTATAAAAACATTTTTCAATATATTTCAAAATTCAAAGAATGTGATTTATTTTTATGAATATTTTTCTGATAAAACATACTATTTATAAATATTATATAAACAATCATATATAAACACAATCGTCACAATCCAATATCAGATAATTATTTTTAAGATTCATTTTTAAATCCATAGACAAAGAAACTAAAAGATAAATTTCATATTAATATAAATTTCGTTATCTTTAAAATAATCTTTTCAATTAATTAAAAATATTTTAAAGAGGATCTTAATTGGATTATAAATATCAACTGTTCAACAAATGTGTCTGTTATCGAGTAAACCGTATTATATGCAAATATCTCCTTCTTTCGATTTACTAGCGATTCCGCATGCCAAAAATAAGGTTATTTAAAATTCTGTCTCAAATATGTATTTATATGTATATTGTCGCGAGAAAACTGCATACTTTGCAAGATTAGGTACGAGGACGCCGTGATGTCAATCGATAAAGTTCTCTCTTCGAGTTTACTTTCACTGGATGGCCTTTCGAAATGTCATCGAGACGGGAGATGGCTTGGGATCGCTTTTCACCTTTCGATTTTACAACTTTGCAGTCCTCATCAGTTACGAAAGCTGAGCACTGATAAGAATAAAAGATCGAGAAACAGAAATTTAGAGAGAGAGAGAAAGAGAATGAAAATAGTAAAAAATGACTTATTATGATAAAAATTTTAAAGAACTGTATCTTTTGTATATTTTTTATAATTTAGTTTTAAAAGTATTATTATATCGAAGAAACATTTATTTACGCTTTGATTATCTTATTATATTTACCTCAAAAATTTTAGTAACAAAGAGAATTTAAAAGTTCCTGCCAGAAACACACAATAAACATTCTATGAATTTTCTATAGACATTCATTAAAAATATTCATGTATTCTATGAATTTATCAAAAACACTGTCAAATATTTATAGTATGTTCATATCTATATCCGAATTGCATAATTAATGAACATATATGAAATTTTATATATTTTATAGAATATTTTTATTCTCTGCGAATATTTTGAAGAACATTCTATGAATGTTCTTTTTGTTATGAATATAAATATCTATATAGAATACTCTATATACTATTTATAACACAATTGATTAAAGTATCCTAAATTTAAAAGATTTTTATTTTACAAAAATCACACAAATATTTATGCTGTCTACGTCACATTTTAACCATATTTCGATAAAATATCAAATTCTGAGAAATTACGAGCTAAATCTCACTTAAACTGCTCAACTAATTGTCTCCTTTGTTTCTCAGGCACCAGCAGAAACTAGCCCACCGTCAAAAGCTACTACAGCAAATCCTCTGAACAAACTTCGCAATCGTAATCGACTGCAAGTACAACCGAAGACCACGACAAAATCACCGGCGTTGTCGCCAGCGATCAGAAGATCACCGCTGTTACCGCGACGCAAGGCAACCGAAACTCCGGCTGTCCAATCGAGTCAGGAGGAGACCGCCTCTGAAGAGGAGACCACTTCCAGCGAAACCGAGCCGACCGAGGCGGTCCTCGCCGAGACCAGCACGGCGGCTAGCACGAAGCACGAGGAGACACGCGGTCTAAGTGGCCTCTTGGCACCCCGACGCAGGATACCAGCGCGACGTCCAGGTCAAATAATCGCCTAGAAATCAAGGATAACGCCGGCCAATCCTGGACCCCACATACCAAGCACTCATCTGAGGATCTGAAAGACGATTCCCGTGATTAATCGAGACACAAAGATAGCAGAGTAAAATCAGACATCCTGTCGTTCGCTCGACTAAATGATACACCAGATGCTAATCTTGGAGCAAGATCTCCCAATATTTGCGTTCTCTCACCTTTTCCTAATATTTTTCTCTAACCGATAAAACGGCATCTTCGCGTGTTACGACGGCAGGTGTATATAATAGTGTCTTTTACGAGAACAACTTCTTTTGAAGAATTTACGTTTGTAATGTTATTATTTTAACGGCCGCTTGAACGTACGTCGAACGCGACGTTCAGTGTACGACATACACATGTAGTAAATTAATATGTAAAATATAAATTAGTGTCTTTCAATTAAAGATAAAATAATATTTTATGAAGTTAATTTCATATTTATGAACGTCCTGTCAATTTCGTATCATGTTAAATTGCCTTTTTTTACAGGTTGATTGTTAATGAAATAACATAGAAAAATAATATGTGAACTATGACTTTTTATTAAGATTAATGACGGACGTTCCTTTTTATTGTTTACCAGAATATATATAAAGTTTAGATAAAGTAGACGATGAATTATACGTAGGTATTCAACGACTATGTTAATAATATGATCAACGATTTTATCATAAACTATCAATCAATGCATTTACTACGTTAAACCGATTTATAAGCACAATACAGTATATCATCTTCGCGCGAATGACATAATTATAACCCAACGCAATAAGATAATCCAACAAGATGAATAAGTATATTTTCAAGTCTTTATACTGCGATAATTGCAACTATCGTATATTTAATTCGGCGAGTTGTGTATTTAACGATTAGCACTTGCGAAGTTATCGAAGTACTATATCTAACGTGATACATGCATAGATATATACATATGTAATATCTCCCCCTTCCCGGGGATATATTTTTAGATTATTATTGCGTGTGCAATGCGTAAGGGTACTTTTGTAATTACAATGTTCCAACATACACTGTAAATATTGCAATTAAACATAAAGTTAATTGTGTTACATTTTCTTTTAATTTTACCGCAAATCCGTCCTCATTCAAAAATATAATTAAATAAAAATCATAGTTAATGTAAGGCTCCATAAATATAAAACAATTAAAATAATAAAGGGCAAATTTGACAGTTTATCAGTACGTATTGTCAAATTTTATAGGATAACAAATTTTGCATTAATAATATATATTTGTATTTAATTGTAATTTTGAAATTTTAACATTGAAAATGACCCGATCGGAGTCGAAACGTCATCTGTTGAATTGTAGCTACATTTTTTAATATTAAAGTTTCAGTTTTGTTATATTATTGGTTCTTTGCCCTTTATTATTTTAATTATTAAATAAAAAATTGATGTTTTCTATGAATGCGCCATACTTCGCACGAGAAACCTTTTGATATAAAAACTTCACGCGACGTTTATTCTAGTAAAGAACTAATTATGAATATCAATCATAGATATAAAAGTGTGTGATAGCGTAATACCAAAATTCTCGATTTCTTTCCTATAATTACGAATTAATTAATTATACACGAAGTCGAAATGTGTCCCTCATTTCAAGCAGAGACAAATCTAAGAGCGGACATCCTGGCCTTTTTATTTATCAAATCTCATAGGGTAATATCCTTGTTTTGTGGTTCTATTTTATACTGTTACGTGGGTTAAACAAGGACGAATCATGGAAGTTGATTATTCATCTTTGTCTAACCCACGTAATAGTATGGAAGAGAACCAGAATAACGTGGACATTACTCTGTGAGATTTGATAAATAAAAAAGGCCAGGATGTCCACTCTCAGGTTTCTCTCTGTCTGAAATGCGAGGGACATTTCGACTTCGTACGATCATATAGAAAAGAAATCGAGAATTTTTTTTTATTACGCTATCGCACACTTCTATATCTATGACTGGTATTGATAATTTCGTTCTTTATTAGCAGAGAGAAACCAGAGCGAGTGGACATCCTGTGGCCTTTGTATTTACAAAATTACATAGGATAATGTCCACGTTATGTGATTCACTTCGCATATTAATTATGTTTTAATTAGAATTGACATCTAAATCTAATTTTAAGAACTCCACGCTGTTTCTTCATGCAAACTATATACATGCTCAAAAAATCATTTCAGAATAGTCGATATTATAAATGTCAATCTTAAAAATCGACTTTAAGAGTCTAAAGTATAAAAATCAACTTTAAGTCGTCTTAACGATGTCTTTTGGAAAAGTCCTCAAGACGTCTTTTTCAAATGTCCTCAAGACGTCTTTCCGACTACATGCAACAGACTTATTTTGGATAAAATCCGAAAGACATCTTAAGAACGTCTTTTGGAAAAGTCCTCAAGACGTCTTTTTGAAGACGTCTTTTGGATGTCTTTCAGACGTGCATTGTTTGCGTTCTGAATACAGATCTACGTCCACATCATCGACTATCGGTAATTATTTGTTTCGCACTTGTTTCGATTCGTTTACGTCAACGTCCAATGATTCTCTCGGCGTCGCCACCAGCCGATAACCGCATTACCCTGCATTACCCCTCCACGGAAGAAACCGAGACTGACCGAGGCTCAGCAAAGATGGTGAAACGCAGAGAGACAGATGTGCAGTTTTAAACGTCCCGATGTCTAAATCGCCAGTGAATAATCACGCGGACGACGGCCGATATGCGAGCGGGCAGTCGTGCGTAGCCTGCAGACGGGATTGAGCGTCACAAGTTGAGAGATTTGTCGTGATCCAGGCATCGCTCGTGGATCCGTAATCGCGGCACGAAGGTACGCGGAGAGGTGCAGAATGTGTCTTTGTTTATGGAGATCAGCTGTGCCCCCCAAAACATCTCGCGTCACCCTTCCCGTTTCGCGCGCTCTCCTCGCGATCAGCGAGCCACGCTGCTATTTTCGTCGAATAAAGGTCAGCCGAATTCTGCCGAATGCGGGGACGAAGTGATCGAGGAGCACGCGTGACGTTCTTCACCGCGCACCGTCCGTACGTGCAGACAATTCGAAAGAGCTTTCTTGGAAAAAGAAAAAATGATAGAAAAAAAGAGAAACCTGACTCAGTGTGAAGATCTTCCGACTTAAAGAGAGAGAGAGAGAGAGAGAAGTCCATTGTTTGTTTGCGTTTCCCAAGAATAGCGCAAACTAAGCTCTTGTTGTTAAATCGCATTTTGCTTCGGAGCATCAAGCTTTGTTGTTTCTGTGCGAGAAAGTACGAATTTTGCAACACACGAGTAGTTCGGGTTTTGTGCTACAGACACCGTAAAGTTTAATTCTCTTTGATTGTCTCTAAATATTATTATTCAGAGAAAAAGTGGGCATGAAAGAAAAGTGTGTCGTACAATGATTAATGTAATTGTAAGAAAACGTTCTAGGTGAAATGTACAATTCGATAAATAATCGGCTGATCCATAAAAATCGATTAATTTCAAAATAGAACACACAATAAGAAAAGATTTTTAAAAAACTGACATTAAAAGAAAAGTTATTTAAAAAAACATGTATTTGGAACAATGCTTAAGTAACAATTGTTTAGTTTCACGATGAGAGGGATGTACGTCATTCCAAGTGACTTTCTTTGTGCATAAGTCAATTGTTATCTTTGTTATTACCTTTGTACTAAAATATGAACAACACTTTTTGTGCAAGAATATTTTTAAACTTGAAGAAATTCTTCTATGAAATGCATGTCAAATCTCTTGTAATTGAAAAATAAGCAATTGTGATATTTTATGAAGATTTTACAGTGCTTATTAATATTTTTTGGTTTAGTAAATATTTTCTTGCAAATATCCAGGTCTTATTATTATTCTTCAATTGATGTATATTTGTTTACATTGCAGTAAAGTACAAATAAAATGTTATCTAATTTTATTAATATTTTTTGTATACATACTTAATATTTTTTTAATGTATTCATATCTTTGGATGAGATAAAATATATATAAATAATATATAGTAATCGGATACTGTGCTATGTTTAGTATTAAAATCTTGAAAAGCTTACTACAACAATGGGCTAACCCACTTTTCATAAAAATGGAGCAAATAACTCTAAAGTTAAACTGTTGAGAGAAATGAATTACTAATATCACATGTTGACTACATTATAGGTATATTGATATTTTTTCCATTACTTTATAGTTCAGTTACTCTGTTTTTATAAAATATGGGTTAGCTCATTGTTGTAGCAAGCCTTTCATTGTAGTAACTGACTTATATTTTAGATGCTTGTGGAGCAACCATTGACTGGTAGCTAAATAAATTTTATGACATGAAAGAATGAAACGAGAAACTGTCATTACTATTGTAGAGCCTGATCGACGAGCACAAACGGTGAGATCTGATTATCTTATTTTTTGTATTCTAATTATAATATATATTTTCTCCCGTATATATGTCCACTATTTAAATATTTATTGTCTAAACTCATCTAATATAATTTATATTAAACGAGATATAATTATTATATAATACGTTTCTATATTACTGCTTCAATATTTAATTGCTTTTACAGATGACGACGGTGTTGGACAGCAGCTATCAACGCATACAGCCTTACGAAGGACAGGAGGAAGATGCGGATGATGAAGACGATCGCGAGGAGGCACCTCAAGAATCAGGTGTCATCATCCATGTGGTACCGGAGGGTAACAAAGCACGATGGAATCACATTGAAGACCTAGATTCATTCTTCACGCGAATGTACCACTATCATCAGCAGCACGGCTTCGTCTGTATGATGCTCCAAGAAATTTTGGAATTACTGCAATTCTTTTTTGTAGTCATATTTGTTACCTTCCTCTTTCATTGCATTGATTACAGCAAATTATATAGGTATATCAAGTTTAAAACAAATTATATGATATGCACATCATTTTAACGGATATTTAATTGATACTCTATATTTTTAGTGGTGGTGGAGATGCCAACGATACCAGCCACAAAAGCGATGCGATAATGTGCATGGGAGATTGCATAAAATCGATCTCTTCATTTTATTGGAGTCTTCTCGTAGTCGCGACAATTTTCTTTATCCTCCAATTCCTCAAAGTTTTGTATCACCTGATGCAATTCTGGGAGATCAAAATGTTCTTCAATACAGCGCTTAAAATCGCTGATAGCGAGCTAGACAATTTTACATGGCATGAAGTTCAGAAACGTGTGATAGAAGTGCAGAAAGAGCAAGAAATGTGCATTCACAAAAGAGAACTTACGGAATTAGATATATACCATAGGATATTAAGACATAAAAATTACATGGTAGCTATGATCAACAAATCACTCTTACCTGTGCGACTCAAAGTACCTATTATAGGGGAAGTCATTTTTTTGACACGAGGATTGAAATATAATATGGAATTATTACTATTTTGTAAATATTGCACAATATGTATATGATAGATATAACTTTATTGGAAATAAAAAATAACTAATTTACGTTGCTTTTCTAGGGGGACCATGGTCACCATTCGAAAATAATTGGCATCTAAAGGAAGATTATAAAAAGTTGAACAAAAGGCAAGAACTTGCACGATCCTTGTCTAAACATATTCTGTGGGTCGGTATCGCAAATTTTGTCCTGTGTTTCCTTATTCTTCTATGGCAGGTTCTTTATACGTTTTTCAATTACGCTGAAGTGAGTAATTATGCTGATTTATGATAATCAATGGCCGCGTTCAACAGAATGTTTATTTTGCAACTGTTAAAAGTGTTCGTTGCTCACTGTTAGATCTAGAGGAATAATTCTATCTTAGCAGAAAAAAACTTCCAACAGTTGCAAAATAAACGTTCTGATAAACACGGCCAATAATTCTTTTAACACGATAATACTAACATATGACAATAATATTATCGACAGACTATTAAACGAGAGCCAAGTGTTCTGGCGATGCGGACATGGTCCCTATATGGTCGATTGTACCTGCGACATTTCAACGAACTCGATCACGAAATGAATGCGCGTCTCAGTCGCGCATACCGTCCTGCTTCAAAATATATGAGCAGCTTTACGTCTCCGATAATGACAATAGTCGCAAAGCAAATAGCGTTTATCACCGGTAGCGTATTAGCAGTGTTATTGGTTATAACGTTGATCTATGAGCCAATATTCTCGATGGAACGCGTAGTCGCTTACATGACCATGTTAGGCGCGGTGGCAGCAGCCGCAAAGGCAATTGTACCCGATGAGAATCTAGTTTGGTGTCCCGAGACTCTTCTAACTGCTGTGCTGGCCCACACACATTATAGACCGGATAGTTGGCGAGGGACTGCTCATACGCATACCACCAGAGCCCAGGTAGCACAGTTATTCCAATATCGCGCGGTGCATCTGTTGGAAGAATTGGTTTCTCCTTTCGTAACAACGTACATTTTGTGCTTCCGTATGCGACACCGAGCTTTAGAGATTGTAGACTTTTTTCGTAATTTCACAATTGAAGTGGCTGGAGTCGGTGATGTGTGTAGCTTCGCTCAGATGGACGTACGTAGGCACGGCAATCCCATGTGGCAGACTGTAGCGCACAGTCCGACAGTCTCTCCGTTGCCAGAGGAGAGACTGCATCGTAGTGCAGGATACGACAATCAATACGGCATCGATCCAGACAAGTATCACATACCGATGTCGAATCATTATACCCAGGCCGAAGATGGCAAGACCGAATTGTCCCTCATACATTTCACTCTGACAAATCCCGAATGGAAGCCGCCGTCCCATGCGGAAAATTTCGTAACTGCTCTGAGAGAAAGGGCTAAGAAGGAAGTAACTGCCGATCCTGATCCTTATAATAATCCCCTGATAGCTAGTTTGAACAGCCTGTCCGGTCTTGGTGTAAGTGCTCAAAATTTTTTTTTGCTTACTAAATAATTTTATTAGAGCTGTTTGCTTCATACATTAACATATTGTTACAGTACAGAGATCAGGTATCGAATATTATTCGAAGTACGATGAATCAAGTGAGTGTACCTAGTATGAGTAACATTTTCACAAATCAGCCGGGTACATCAACCACGTCGGTCGGCGTTGATCAGTCGTTTGCCACGAAATCTACCATTCTGCGTCGAGGTGTGTCCAAAACGGAAGGTCCATTGCACAATGATAGAGGATTCTTGTATGATTTGCAACAAGGTATATCGAATCAGTCGCTAGGTGCTTCTGTATTTGGATCGGGTCACAGTTATGTTATGGAAACGCATACAGATCCATATATACCTACAGAATTAACCGCTGCTGATATGTCTTTGTCTACATTGTACCTGCATGAGCTTCATCATAGACAAGTAAGTATTTTGATTAATGTTCATGATGTAATAAATTTTGCGAGTGCAACGAAGAACATTGCAAACAACTTTGTCAAGAATGCTCAGATATGTCCAAAATAGAAACGTTTGATTTCTAGGTAAGAAGAAGGGGTTATCAAGAAATGGCAACAAGAAGTATATGGCAGCGAAGTCCGGTTCAGGAACTAGCGACACTTCCCGAGGTTAGACAAGAAAGAATACCTCTCCTGTTGCATCAAGATTCCTCTTTAAGGAAAAACAGAGAGTCCTAACACTAAAAATTTCATTTAATAGTATCTGATTCGCGCAATAATCATCATTTTTAGAGGAATAAAGTGATTTTTATCTGTTTTATTATATAACGAATCCATGATTTATTTTACAATAAATAAGTAGTCGCGATATATCCGAGAGTGGAACATTCTCGGCGTTATATAGAGGTTATTATGTCTTCTAAATATTTTACACAGAATGCAGAGAGAGCATATGCTTCTTTCTCTCTCTTTCCCTCTCTCTTCTTTCTCTGTGTGTGGCCAACGATCTAATAATGCCTATTTTTAATATCAAAGGCCTATTTAAAAGCTTACATTTTATATGTAAAATATCCACACTTAATGTTATTATATTTTATATTTTGACGTAATGAGCAAGGCTCTATATATAAAAAAGTATAATTGATTTAAAGGGTTAGATCCAATATATGACATTGATAAGTAGAAATTTCGACATTTTTGAAAAGTAGTCGAAGTATATATGATATTATAATGTTTCTACAAATTTTTCTAGATGTAATCTTAATTTTTAGAAGGTATCTTTAAAACTTCGTTCGTCATTCAATGATGACTAAAATCGTCATTGAATTGATATATATGTATATGTATAGAGGTTATTTCTAATGAAATCATATATTGTTTTCAGAGTTTAAAACATAATTTTGAAGCTCTTTTTTTTAATTGCTGCAAAACTATGGTTAGAATTATGTAAATATTATTTAAGTAAATTTATGAACTAAAATATAATTTGATAAAGTGTTAAGATTATTTCTCTCTACATAAAAAAAATTATATTTTTTATGTTAATTTTTTAACAGATCTAATCCCTTAATTCAATGAGCTTTATTATGCTAGAAATGCAGCATATGTCAAAAGTTTGTCTCCGAGCGACAATTAGGATATTTCAATTGTAAATGAGTTTAATGTAACGGCTAGTATAGTCTCCTTCCTTAGAGCGATAAAAGAAAAAACAAAATATTGTCTTTTTGTTCAATAAGGAGAAATGCGTAATTTACTTGTCCAATAATTATTATCACCTCTCAATGCCACAATTCTCTAGTCATACGAAATTAATATCGCGCCGTAATATACTTCTCTTTTTTTTTTAGAGATAAAATGGTTCTATTTATTTTTAACATTTTATTTTTATTAACTATTTTATATATATACATATTAAATATATATTATATGTATATAATATATATTATATGCATATATGTATACACATGTATATATACATATACATTCATATATGTATATATAACGGCGGCTGAATATTGATGACTAGGGTAGAATCACATGTACATACATAATAACGCGTTTTCAGAAACCGCGATAACAATATAAAAGTACGAGCTGTGTCTCGTCTTTTGACATAACACAGGTTGTTACGAAATAGATTTAAGACAAAAATTTAGATTACTCTTATTCCTTGTTTATATATGCCACATCTAATAACTTAATGCGAAATTAATGATTTTTAAATAAATTAACATATAACAAGTAAAGGTAAATAAGAAGATACGTTTTGCTAAATCTTATATCGATGTGATTCTCATGAGATGAGAAATTATATATGCTATAAGGAACATCTGTAATTATAATTATAACAAAAATAAAAATAAATTTCATAATAAATTGATTTATGTTAATTAGATTGATGCTCTGGATATTTCTCTCGTATTTCAAAATCGATAGCAGCAAATTTTCTTGTTTTAAGTAACTTATTAAAATTTTGTTTATTAACTGTATTTATTTTATTCAGAGAGTTTTATTCTCTTAAGATGAGGTATTCACAATTGATTTTTATTTAAAACCGTCTTATAAATGCAGTCTTTTGAAATATCATGAACCAATCACACAGAGAGTATTAGCATCTTAAACCACAATTTTTAAAATAATAAGATTATGAATTTGGCTATAGAAGATACAAGCAAAGTATTTTTGAACATGCCCTTGATTTTCAACTATTTCTCATGTGAAAAGTTTTTGTTTTGAAAAAATAATCGATAGTCGAGTAAACAGAAAAATGACTAGCAGAATGCAAATATGAACGCTTGCCAAGAGATTGTATCGTCAACTACAAAGTTATTGGATGTCTCCAAGTATAATCTACGGTGTAATCGTAATATCAGTGAGAAAATGACGAAGAAAGACTTTATTTACGACATCCCAACACCGATGCAAACCGTAAGAAAGGTATTTGTTCTTTTACGACAAGGAGTTACTCTTAGAAAATTTCTAAATGTTAATTTAGAAATAATATTAATTTATAATATTTCTCAAGGAAATAAAACGACGGTTGGTGCTCGCATGCATTTATCGTTGTTTGATGACAATTTTTAAAATATGTACAGCTCGAAAAATTTATAATTTGCAGTGTGAGACACAAAAACAACCGATTATCTTACTACGACGAAAAAATAATATTGATTCCAGAATGCCGCATTACACTGTAATTTCTGAGAGGCAGATAAACAATGGTGGCAGTGGTGATGCAACTGTTGTAAGTAGATATTTGTGAAAAATATCTAGCTTAAAAATATCTATTTTATTCAACTCTTCTTTTTGTTATTTTTGTATATCGAATTTAATTTTATTACAAATAAAATTGAGCTATGGGTGTCCGAATATTCTTTTTTAATTCGTATTCTTTTTTTTAATTGAAATTAAATAGTATGTTTAATTTAAATTAATAAAATAAAAATTAAATTATTAAAAAAATAAATTCTTTCTATTGCATTATTTTCTATGTTATTCTATTTAATCTTAATATGTAACATCTACTTTCATTTCAATCCATTTGTATTTCTAACCTCATGTTTAAATTTTTACTTGTTTTAAATATTTATAAATTTCTGAGATACAAATAACGAATAAAAATTGTATGTCAATCGTATTAAGGTATATATATATATATAAAAGTTTGCTTAAAATTGCACATATATTAGCTAACTTAATTTGCAAAATGATATCATAAAATGCAAGTCAGCTCATTAAAAAATCGATATGAACATTTAACTCGGAGAGACTACCAGTACTTTACAATATCGGGAAAGAGAAAAGATTCTCTTAAAAAACTAAATTGCACAAAATCGTTTGTTTCCTATTTTACATCATTTTCTCAAAATTAGCTACTAACTAAAAGAAAGGAAGAAAAATGGAAGAATTTTTCTTTCTGTTTCTTGGCGAAACTTTGGCATCTTATTTTCTCAACCTCGTTCTTAACGGATGTATTAGACAAACGATTAGCTTGAATGACAATATTGTAACATGACGAAGGAAAAGACGAGGGCTTCAATGAACGTAATATGTTATACGTGATAAGAACTGAAAGACGACATTAAGCTGTATCCTGATTGTCTGAGTTTTTTTTACAATTTCCTTCGACTTACTTGCTACTTGGCGTTAAAAGCCAGCAGTCTTAGTCAACTTTTTCCCCGATTTCTCGTGAGGGAATGTCCGAAATCCTTTCTTGTCAGTATTTCTTGCAAATGATTCCAGGGAAAGGCGAAAATAGTGTGGGTGCCAAATGACGCCAGGCAATTAGTCAAACAAATTGAGGAAAATTTCCGTAGCGATCAATAAACGTTTTGAACAAAATGAAATTCAAACATTCATCGTACTTTTTTTTTTATCGTAATGTGTGATGTCTTATAGTAATTATACGAAAGAAAAATTTTATTGAAGCTCTACTTTTTCTTACCTTTTAGGGAATTATTTAAGTTTTTGATTACATAAACGTCATTAAGATACAATTACAGTAACATGTGTAATACAAATTTTATAAAATTAAATAAAATATCTTGATAAAACTTTCTCAATAATTTTTCGTAATAGAAATATTGATGAGATAAAATAAGGTGCTTATATTACCTGCAATGCTCACAATATCCAATCCTATTCTATAATAAATAATTTTCTTTAAAACAAATTTTAGAGTTGAACTAGATAGCTTAATATATAAAAATATAATTAAAAGATACATTTTTTTAATATTCCACGAAATACATCATATTTTCGCTAAATTTATCCAATCGTTGTGGTATATGCTCATTTTAATACCTTTGTTTCCTTTGTTTTTTTAAAGACATTGATGCATACATACATGTATATTTATATACGTTAGATCTTAAAGAATTAATCTTTATCCACAGAAAAAATGAAACTTTAATTGTTTTTTTTTGCGTTATATGACGTAGTTGAGATTATTAGTGACAGATCTGCAAAATACGCTTGTGTTATAATGGATCTTTTGTACCGAATTTTTATATTACACTTATATTTTTTATTTATTAATGGACTATCTACTGATATAATTGACAAGAATACCAAATTTTATTCAATCTGATTTTTGAATTTTTATCTTATTGACTCAAAGCATGAAGAACACGAATTGATTTATACACTGTTAATTTTTGTAGGATAACGAATTTTGTATCTGTATTAAATATTTGTGACATCGAAAATGACCCGATCGGAGTCGAAACGTCTGTGTTGAATTGTAGCTATATATTATTATTTGAATTAAAAGTTTGTTTTTGTTATATTATCGGCTCTTTGTCCCTTTTTATTCGATTTGTTTTATACTTATAGAGCCTCTTATATTAATTAGTATTTTTAATTGTTTTATTTTAATATATGTACTGACCTGTTGAAAACGGCGGAAACAAAAGTTTCATTATTGTCACATTTTCCAGGTTACCGATCGACGTATTTTAGGATACTCGTGCAATCTTTGCCAAGAACCGATGGCTACTTTATTTTCTCTGTCGACACACGTCAAATTTCACTGCCAGAGATACTGCAAGATATGCTACTGGATTCTGCGTGAAAACGAGACGATGGAATGGCACATCGACAATTGTCATTGAACCATGTGAGAGATCGCAAGTTTCTAGTGCTTGAAAATTCGCTTAAAACATCAAAGTGATATATAACATCTATTCTTAATACTAAATCCTTTTTTAAAAGCTTATATTTTATCATATGTAAAATATCCTCCATACTTAATATTATTAACATATTTTAGATTTTGACGTAACGAGCAAAGTTAATTCTGTATAAAAAGTATACCTAATTGATTTAAAGTAGTAACCTGTAGTCTGTCTATGATTTTTCTGCAATCAGCTAAAATCATATTTTCTATTTTATTTAAACAAAATATCATGTGGACATTTATTTATTTACAAAAATATCTTTCTGAAAATTATTCTCAAAAAGGTTGCGTATCATTGATTTAAAGGATTAAATCTCATATATACAACTTATCCCAACATTGAGATAAGTAGAAACTTCAGCATTGTTTAAATTCTCCACATTTTCTTTGCTCTTCTAAAATATATATGTGTCCTTTATGTTTTAACTTATTTTATTTTATTGCAGTCTATTTTATTGTAAGATTTCGCCTCGGATCGACTTTGTTTCAATATTCTACATTTTGCGGCAGTTAAATGTGTATATATAGGATTAAATTATTCTTTATTTTGAATTATACTGTCGACAAATTATGCAATTATAATTCCCGCGTTGGGGGCGAACCATTTGCCATTAAACAAATAGATTCATTAGTTGGCGTATTGTCATAGTGTATCTCTATATGCTTTATTTGCCTCAGATACTCTTGCATGCGAATAGAAAAGAAATTAGGTTAATTGCGTTCTCGCCTGCTAATTAGTGTAATACAACGACTGCATTCACACAGTATTTCCGGTTTTTATCGCGTGCATGACATGCGTATAGTAGATAACACGTTTACTAAACATCATTAATTCCATACTTCCGGATTAGGCGTTTTCATATCTACAATATGATACTAGTTCATTGTACGTTCAACAAAAAATAAAAATATTTTTGGACAAAAAATTTAAATCTATGAATGTTTATCGATTAATTAATATTTATATGTATATATGTTGCTTACTTTTTAAAATAAAAATAGAAAAAATTTATTGATGTCTCATTTTTCCATTCGTTTTCTTCTGGAATTCAGTCCTACGTATGTCAGGAAATATGTAGCGTGCGCTGCATCTATTTCTTTTAACGTCTATGGATTAGACACATACGAATAGATAGCGCTCGAATACAAAAATTCGAAATATCCGCGGGCAATTTTCACACCGTTATGGCCGTAGCGTTACGCATCTCTCATTTGTAGAGACCACAGAGATTCTCTAATAAGAGCCTGGATATGAAAATCAGTTTTGATCCGCCGCGTTTTGTCTGAGAAAGAAAGAGATAAAAAAGTAGAAGAAAAGGAGAAAGAAATAGTGAGTGTTAGAGAGAGAACGTGTAACAGGAAAATTTTACGAAAAAGAAACTCGTATATTTCGATAATCTAAATTCTAAAGACAGTTTCAATCGGTGTAATTTTGACATTCTTTTCTTCTCTAAAGTATTATTAGATTTTTAAACTTTCTTTCCCCTCTCTCTTTCAAATAGATTTTTAAATCTATCGCGGCTCACGCAGCAGTGAAATTGTTGGCGCGTCCTTTAAACCGAAATGCGTCCACTCGACTGAGAATAAACTCTATACGCGCAAAGTAATCGTGTTTTGCGTACGTTTCGTACGCGTTTAGTCAAACTCGTATAGAGAATGTAGGTCGCAAGCGAAACGTATTTCAAATTAATATTCCTTCTAAATGAAGTTCATCCAACTTCCTGCATCCTGCGTTCTGCATCTTGTATATATTGTATTATAATTTAAATTAATTAGATTAATTTCTAGTGTTGCGACTTGCGACTCAAGTTCTGCGTGCTATTATTATATATATATATATATATATATATA